AACATTACTTTCAATTTAAGAAAATTATAAAAATTTTTAGAAAAAATATTTTAGGTAGATTGAAAACAGTCACTTTTTAATTTAATTCACTTGAAGTCAAACAAATAAAATCATTTGATTTTAGAATTAGTTTAAAAACATTCTGTTATTTTTCTCAAAAACTTTTCAAATGTTTAGAAAATAGAAAAAAAAATTAATCTAGAACAACATGACATTAAGATTTTTTTTTAAAATGCTTCACAATGTTTGCATTTCAGCACAAGGTTCGAATTAGATTGGGTTAGAATCAGTAATTGATTTCAATAAACAGCTTTGAAATTTTAACATGAATGTTGAGCAGTCAAAATGTTGATATCATTTTATGAATATTTAAAGGAATTTAGTTAAAAATTTCCCTTTTAAAATCTGGAAGCATAAAAAATTTAATAACGTTTTATATTTGCTTCGTTATGCGCACCATAAAAGTGCATCTAGAATTCACAATCTCTTCTTGAAACTTGTTGAAAAGCAATTCAAAAGTATTGAAGCATCATGATGTGATAATTTGAAATATTGTTGACAATGAAAACAACGGAATACGATCCCAGAACAATGGTTGAAGCAATTTAAAGTAATGATGAAAAATAATATTTGAATGTTGACGGGATTTTTTATTCGAATTTGAATATTGACGGGTTCCTAAAGAATTCCTGTAATGAAACATGTAATAGAAACTGATAGATTCTGTCGGAAACCCGAACAATCAATTTCTCAAGTGCTTCATAAAAGATGCTTCCACGTACAATTATTATCGAACATTATAGTTCGAGATATGACATCGCAAAAATTTATTCACCACAGATCGGAGCGTCGAATAAGTACCCTGAATAAGCCACTGAATGTTTAAAAAATAGTAAAACAATTTGTTAAGGCCGTCGTATACATGGTCATCTTTCTACAAAATAACTACAATAAAACGTATTTTTTGCGATCTAGTACGGTGGTATTATTCGCTCTTAAAATAATATACCTCAATAATCTGGCAAATTTCATACTATTATTCGATTGCTTTTACATTTTCATTTTAAATATGCTAAAAATATATTCATAGTTTACAAATATTTTTGAAATATTTGTAATATGGTTAAAAAATACTTCAGCTTCTGACAATTTCTTTTAAACATTTTATTTTCCAGACATTATAATTTTCTAAAAGATTCTTTTTTTATAAGAAAAATAACAAAAACAAAAAGTAAAATAATTTAAACGACAAAGTTTTACAATAGAAATCAGGAAATCAAGAACTGAAAAATGAACTAGAAAAATAAAAAAGTTTTTAATTTTAAAGTTGAAAAAAAAAAAACATTTTATTTTGCATGTGACTATAAAAAAATTCAAAACTTCTACATATTTTAGCCCATTTGTAGTTTTTCTTTTTCTCTTCCAGATACTATTAAAGTTCTTAAAAATTTTACAGTCTGTTAGAAAAAAATAAAATTTTAATACTACATTGTGTTTATTAGTATTTGCAGGCAATTTGTGAAGAAATACGCATTTTGAGCAACAAGCAGACCTAGACTGTCAAAAATGAATCATAATTGTTTTAAGAAGCTAACAAATCAAATTAATTGGAGCTTAAAGCAACATCAATATGAAACGAAAATAATGAAGGAAATTTATTTTGCAACTGTTTCTTAATGGACCGTCCTAATCAAATTCAAGAATCTTAACCAAAGGTATTACGCCGGTATGTAAGTATTGGACGTAAAACAAGTGCATGTAGCAACTTTAGAGCAGAATACAATATTAATTATATTTGATTATTCGCATTTGTATTACGATTAATATCTTGCTCTTATGAAAATTACAAAGTACACATACTCTTGGCATAAGGTGGTCGAAGATTGTTTTCTTATCATGAAATCTTATCATTTGCTTTTATTGCATTTCTAAAACACTCTTAGAATTTAATATTTTGACAAATAGTAATAATATTACTTCCAAGAACTCCCACTCTTTTTTTTATAATTTCAAATTCATTTTAAACCACAAAATAAGTATTTCGTAAAGCATTGCAATTTTGTTTTAATAATAAAAACCAATTACTTAAGATACTGAAAAAACAATTTTATGCATATTTGACACTAAGAATTTTTTATCAAAATATTTTTATGCATATAAATATTTAAATATGCAAATAAATATTTTTATATTTAGGTTTTTAGATCTACCATGCAACATGAATCGAATCCGAATATGAACACTGAATAATTAACAGATTGTGCATTGAATTTAGAAGAAAGACAAGTAAATAAAAGTAAAAGGAGCGCACAATTACTATTATTCCTAAAATATCACAATTTACTCATTTCAAGCTTGAATTAGCTTAATATCGCGAAATTACCCTCTATGTGCGCTGCTATAATTCATAACATTTTTCATAAAGCATTTAACATAAATATTTCTTTGTTGTTGTGCGTTACTCGTTTTTGCTTACCAAAATTTCGCACCGAATTAGTAATATATAAATGATTAGTACGCGTCATAGTTCTCTTAAAAAAATCAAATCATTGATCAAAAATAATTTGACGTCATAATTTAATATTTCAGGAAACAAAAACAAGAAAATCTTATAAAAACAAATACTCATTAACAACACTCTGCTGAAAGCATTTCATCTTAAATGTCTTTTTTACTTTACATAACCATAACCTGTATCAAGTTTCTATAAATCGATATTAATTTTTTTTTGTAGTTTTTTATAATGAAATTTGAGATATAGCCGCAGGGCATGATAATTTATAATAATTTTTTTCATAATGTTCTTTTTATTTATTCAACAGCTACCAAAGTCAAGTTGATAAGTATAAGTCTATTATGTTTTATAATTGGAAAACTGTCAATGTTTTTACGATGGTATGATATTGTGAATATTCATGTGTCAAAAATAAATTATGTACCCGCTTCTTAAATCACCTTTAAATATTCTTATTTCACTTACCAAACAGTGTAATCCGCATTGAAATTTAAATTTTTATAGTTCTGTTACAAAAATCAAGAGGTATTCCACTTACTTTTGACAAGTTATTATGATAAAAATGGAGGATTCATAATATGAGCCATTTGCCAATTTTTCGTTCAAATATTTGAAAAATTTCTCAAATAAATTCTTATATTTCGCTCAATAACTTGCATTTAAAGTTTGTTTATCTAGCGTCAGTTAAATGAAACTACTCTAATGCTTATTCTTTTTAAAATAAATTCTTACCAGCCAGAATGGATAATAGAATTTATACTTAAGTTTTCTAATTTAAAAGTGTGACAAATAGACTAATTCACGCGAATAAAATAAAATTTTTCTATAGCTTATAAAAAAACAATTTTTTTCACACTTACCTAATAGAAAATCTATTCAAAATGATCAGTGAACAATTCAAGTTATACAGCTTCTCATATTTTCAATTATTTTGAGAATTTTAATTATCTTGATAATAATAATAAATTATCAAGTTAATAATTATTAATAAATATTAAATTACCAATCATTCACGTCTTCACTATTTAAAGATCATCACGCTTATTTAATGTTGGCCGTCTATTGTATATGCGATACATATTATTATGTACAAACACATTCACTTCCAATTACAGATTATTATTATATGATTATAATTGTATGTACATAGGAAAAACAATAATAAAATTAATTTTTATTTCATTTTGCGGAACTTACTGTCGTATTGTAATCATCTGCGAATAAGACATTCGAAGATGAAAACATCACGATTGATGATATTTAAACTCTTGTTTTCTTACTGATTTGTTTTTTTTTTTTTAAAGTGTTTATGACAAAGCTTCGGCGGGAATCAATAATTTATTTTAGTAAAGTTCATATTTTATTGTAAAAATTTTTGTGTTTACTTTTTTTCTCAAATTTTTTTTTTTTAGTTTTATTTTTATTTATTGAATAATTCTTAAATTCAATTAAAATTATTAAAAATTTTTTTCCTAAATCTAAAATAAGAAAATAAAAAATTTTTGAAATAATTGCGACAGGGTGAAATTTTGTAAAAATAATAAATTTATTGATATCGTTCAGTTTAATAAAAACAAAACCGTATTATGACTGAGATGGTTATTACTTCAAACAACAAACTGCGGTGAAGTCTATGTAATTATATTGCGTTTTTGCCTGTAAATTCAAGTTTCGAGTTAAATCGATCATACTTTTAAAATATATGTCACTATAATTTAAGACTTAATTACATCGTATTAGCATCCATGGCTTCTATATTACAAAAAAGATCAGTCTTTAAGCTACCTATAAACAATCCCTAAATGATACTAACTTTCAAAAGTTTATGAAAAAAAGTAAGATTTTTTCATGGCACTCGTTGCGGAACGGAATTTAAAAAACAATAATGAAATGAAATTTAACTCGTGCTGTACAATCCCAAATCACTTCAGTTGAAAAATTTGAGCTGAAACTAATTTTTTCTATTTACTCAAATTTTGTTAAAATCTCAAAAAAATCTTTGTCTCTTAAGTTTAATTGAAATTAATGACAATCATCCTGTAGGCTTGTAACATCATTTCTTAATAAAAATACATCACAAATGTGTCATGAAAGTTGTTAGAACATTATACAAATATGTTTAAATAAATTCTTGTAATTAACTTTATTAAAGTCGTCGTAAATAAATCGTCAAAAAAAAGGATACAAATACATGTTTTTGACAACTAAAAAGCTGACATAAGAAAAAAAATGAACTAATACATAACATTAATTTTCAATTATATTCGCAGGTAGATATTATTGTTTCATAATTAAGAAATAAAGATTATCACTCAAAAATATAATAAGAAATTCGATTTTAGTGAAAAATTAAAATCGCAAATATTTTCAGTTTCTATTTTACACTTGACTTATTAAGTGCCCTTCAATAATTTTCCTCGGAATTTAATCTCATTAAAAATTTTCAATAAATTTTGAATTTATTTAAATTACATAAATATATTATTAATTAATGGAAAATTTTAAATGAAAATTATGATGAAAAAATATAAAAAAAATTTAATATATTATTTTTTAATAATAGTTGTGAAATATATTGAATTGGTTGATGCTGATAGCTACCAAATATTTAGTATGTAAAATTTAATTATAGTGTTTTAAGAATGTTACAGAAATTTCACTAACAATTGACAAGGTGCACAATTGACAGTGCTTTTAATCTTACGAAATTTTTTGTAATTTTTGTGCATGTATTAAATTTCATTATATGAATAATAGTAGTCCCTTACATAGGAAGTTATATACTAATTAAATTTACATAATAATTAAAATTTTTGAACAACAAAAAATTAATATTAAATAATCGATGTTGAATTCATAAATTTAGACAACTCTTCACTTTCAGAAAATTCCTCATATTGTGCCTGGGATAATAAAACAAATTTATTTATTAGATTTAAATGTTGTCTGAAATTATAATTCACATTTCTTGGTTTTTTTCTTAAGATGTAAAAAAATTTCCCTATTAAATACAATCAGGCATAAAATCTAAATTGAGAATAAATATGTATTTCGAATTATGTTATTATTAAAAATCAAATGAGTATTTAAGTAATAATAATAATAATAATAATATTAATAATTCAAATAATAATAACAAAAAAAAATTTCTGTTTATTTTTTAATTCGTTTTTCGAAAGGTCTTAACCATCATATAGGTCCAGCAGATACTGTAATACGTAGAGCAGTACGACCTTTGTCGCTACCATTTAAGCAATACGATATAACGGAAGTATTCTCCGATCAAGTTCCACGTCTCGTTAATGAATTTGATATTCCTTATTATAATTTTCAAGATAACAACAATTATGTAATCGATGCAACTGAACACTTTCAAGATGGAATAATGAAAAACCACAGTTTTGATAGTGCTTTTAGAGTTAAAAAGCATAATGATTATGAGGTAGATCCAAATCCTTGGAATTTAATCAATCTTGACGATACTAGAAATGGTCACCGAATCTGCTTTAAAGTAATTCCACCAACAAAATCAATTGAAGTTGAGCAAATGAATAATGGTGAATCATCAAAAATGGTATTTCAAATTCCTGAGGTAATTTCATTTTAATATTAAAAATTTACCATATATAGTCTGTCCCGTAGTCAGATATAACGTATTTATTCACATGTAGGATAACAAATTCGTACGAGTATCACAGAGTTGACACGGTCAACTCTATTTTTTCTCGTTTTTATTTAAATCAAATTTTCAGATTCTTTTATAAATACTATAATAAAAAAAAAAAAGAATTTAGTTTACATGAACGAAAATAAAATTAACTGCACATTAATACCCTTAAAAAAATAAATAGAGTTAATTAAAATTAATAAAAATAAATATTTATTTTATATTCTACTCATTATTTTTAAGCATACTTGAAAAAATTTTATAGAAAAAAAATAGAGAGAAAAAAGTGTGGTTAACTGTAGTTTTAAAATGTTTTTCAGATTTTTGATGGAGACTGGCATGATCTGAAATACAATTTAAAAAACAACCGAATATCAATTTTTATTGATTGTCAAAACATGAACGCTGACGAAAATTTCCCCACTGAAAATACAGAAATAAATTCTTTACAATATGGGAATAGAGTAGATTTAACATTAATTCAAACTGAAAATCAACAAGATGTAATTTATAATAACAAAAAATCATATTAAATTTTTTTTAATCACAATTACTTGTTAGGTGGACATTATGAAAATGAAGTTTAACTCACTTCCAATCAGATCACCTTATGGTATTAAATGTCCAGAATTAGAGAAAATGGGTCGTAACATTAAGAGGCAACCTCCTTTTAGACGACCACAGCCACAATCTTTTAATCCCATTAATGAAGTGCAATCTACTATACCCTCTAGTGGCCCCTATAATTATAATCCACCAGACCAACCTTTAGATTATAGTAACTTTGCTAATAGTTACCGACTACAATCGTCCACAGAAGGTCCATATAGATATAATATACCTACACAACCTTTTGATCAAACTTTAAATCAAAATAATTATGCAACAACCCCGAGAGACTCCTACGAATATAACCAACATGATGGCAATTTTTATAGTCCAGATGATTATTCAGTATTACATCAAAACGATCATTTTGCTACCTACGAACCTTACACAGAACCTTCGCTTCAGGATGAATACGGAAAAGATATTTATAATCACCATTCCTCATCACCAAATCCAAATTATAATTCTTACAACTACGATCCACCACAACAGTCATATGATCCTTACAATGAGAGTCTCATTCCTTATGAAACTGGAACGGAACCAAATAGTGTTGTTATCGATCCACTTACGCCAAAACCAGTTATAAACTCTTTATCACCAGAGCTTCCCTCTCCTAATGAAACGGCTGAACAAGATGGAAGTAGTATTAACTCATGCTCCTGCAATATTAATGATGATGTTTTGGAATCTCTAAAGACAAAGTTACTGAATCAGATAAAAAAGGAGTTTCCAACATTAAAAGTTAATGAAATTTCTGATACCAGAACAGAAAATAACCCAGATGCAGTGAAATCTGAGCTGGAAATTAAGGAAATCAAGATGGGTAAACCAAGTTCACCAAAAGAGATAGACGTTAGCGCATTAAAAATGAATATTACGGATGAAATTTTAGGTACACATTACTGATATTAAAACACATTCTTGGTGAAATAAAATCATGTTACCAATATTAAAAAAATAATACTTTCTAGAATATGTTGAACGATACATTGACACTAAATTAACTTTTGAGTTTCCTACGAATGATGACGTTCATGAAACCATACCCACTAAGACCAGATCAAAAGAAGCGTATCCATCGCTCATAGAAAGAAATGGTAAGTTTAAGAAAAATTTTCCTATGTGCAAAATATAACTCAACAAAGCTAAACATTTTTCTTAAATTTTTCAACGTAAAAGAGGTTTTTTACTTAAACACTAATAACCCATAATTTACAAGCTTTAATTTAAACTTAGCGAAAACAATGTACTGTTTTCCCTTTTTGTTATTATATTGCTAACATTACTTCAAAAATATACAGGTTCAGTGGACAGAATGCCTAAAAACCTTAGCAACACAATCATGAAAAATGACAACTTTCAAAATAAAAACACTGATCCCGGAACCGATCCTATTCTAGACAGCCAGACAAATCCAACTATACGGGGAAATATCAGAAAGGGTCCACAAAAAGGAAAGAGTCCCAAGAAACCCAAATTGCAAAAACCAGAAAACCCTAAAGCAGATTCCGATATGAAAGATGATCCAGATAAACCAGAAGATGAACCTGAAGATTCTGATGATATCCCTGAAGAAATGTCAAAAGATTTTCCTAAAGGAAAGGACCCCAAAAAACCTAAAGTAAAATCACCTAAAGATAAGAAACCCAAAAGCCCTGAAGAAGATTCTGATATGAAACATGATTCAGATAAACCAGAAGATGAACCTGAAGATTCTGATGATATGCCTGAAGAAATGCCAAAAGGTTCTCCTAAAGGAAAGGGTCCAAAAAAACCTAAAGTAAAATCACCTAAAGATAAGAAACCAGACAGCCATGAAGAAGATTCTGATTTGGAAGATGATCCAGATAAACCAGAAAATGGACCTGAAAATTCTGATGATATGCCTGAAGAAATGTCAAAAGATTCCCCAAAAGGAAAGGGCCCCAAAAAACCTAAAGTAAAAACACCTAAAGATAAGAAACCCGACAGCCCTGCTGGAAATTCTGATATGAAAGATGATGCAGATAAACCAGAAGACGAACCTGAAGATTCTGATGATATGCCCTCAGAAAAGCCAAAAGATTCTCCAAAAGGAAAGGGCCCCAAAAAACCGAAAGTAAAATCACCTAAAGATAAGAAACCAGACAGCCCCGATGAAAATTCTGATATGAAAGATGATGCAGATAAACCAGAAGACGAACCTGAAGACTCTGATGATATGCCCTCAGAAATACCAAAAGATTCTCCAAAAGGAAAGGGCCCCAAAAAACCGAAAGTAAAATCACCTAAAGACGAAAAACCAGACAGTTCGGATGAAGATTCTGATATGAAAGATGATCCAGATAAACCACAAGATGAACCTGAAGATTCTGATGATATGCCCTCAGAAATGCCAAAAAATTCCCCAAAAGGAAAGGCCGCCAAAAACCCGAAAGTAAAATCACCTAAAGATAAGAAACCAGACAGCTCCGATGAAGACTCTGATATGAAAGATGATCCAGATAATCCAGAAGATGAACCTGAAAATCCTGATATGCCTGAGGAAATGCCAAAAGATTCCCCAAAAAGAAAGGACCCTAAAAATCCCAAACCAAAATCACCTACAGACGAAAAACCAGACAGTTCGGACGAAGATTCTGATATGAATGATGATCTAGATAAACCAGAAGATGAACCTGAAAATTCTGACGATATGCCTCATGAGATGCCAAAAGATTCCCCAAAAGGAAAGGGCCCCAAAAAACCCAAACAAAAATCACCTAAAGACGAAAAACCAGACAGCCCTGATGAAGATTCTGATATGAAAGATGATCCAGAGAAACCAGAAGATGAACCTGAAGATTCTGATGATATGCCTGATGAAATGCCAAAGGATTCCCCAAAAGGAAAAGGCCCCAAAAAACCGAAAGTAAAATCACCTAAAGATAAGAAACCAGACAGCCCCGATGAAGATTCTGATATGAAAGATGATCCAGATAAACCAGAAGATGAACCTGAAAATCCTGATGATATGCCTGATGAAATGGTAAGAGATTCCCCAAAAGGAAAGGACCCTAAAAACCCCAAACCAAAATCACCTACAGACGAAAAACCAGACAGTTCGGACGAAGATTCTGATATGAAAGATGATCCAGATAAACCAGAAGAGGAACCTGAAGATGCTGATGATATGCCTGAAGAAATGCCAAAAGATTCTCCAAAAGGAAAGGGCCCCAAAAAACCCAAAGTAAAATCTCCTAAAGATAAGAAACCCGACAGCCCTGAAGAAGATTCTGATATGAAAGATGATCCAGATAAACCAGAAGAGGAACCTGAAGATGCTGATGATATGCCTGAAGAAATGCCAAAAGATTCTCCAAAAGGAAAGGGCCCCAAAAAACCCAAAGTAAAATCACCCAAAGATAAGAAACCAGACAGCCCTGCTAAAGATTCTGATATGAAAGATGATCCGGATAAACCAGAAGATGAACCTGAAAATGCTGATGATATGCCTGATGAAATGCCAAAAGATTCTCCAAAAGGAAAGGGCCCCAAAAAACCCAAAGTAAAATCTCCTAAAGATAAGAAACCCGACAGCCCTGAAGAAGATTCTGATATGAAAGATGATCCAGATAAACCAGAAGAGGAACCTGAAGATGCTGATGATATGCCTGAAGAAATGCCAAAAGATTCTCCAAAAGGAAAGGGCCCCAAAAAACCCAAAGTAAAATCACCCAAAGATAAGAAACCAGACAGCCCTGCTGAAGATTCTGATATGAAAGATGATCCAGATAAACCAGAAGATGAACCTGAAAATGCTGATGATATGCCTGATGAAATGCCAAAAGATTCCCCAAAAGGAAAGGGTCCCAAAAAACCCAAAGTAAAATCACCTAAAGCTAAGAAACCAGATAACCCTGATGAAGATTCTGATATGAAAGATGATCCAGATAAACCAGAAGAGGAACCTGAAGATTCTGATGATATGCCTGAAGAAACGCCAAAAGATTCCCCAAAAGGAAAGGCCCCCAAAAAACCCAAAGTAAAATCTCCTAAAGATAAGAAACCCGACAGCCCTGAAGAAGATTCTGATATGAAAGATGATCCACATAAACCAGAAGAGGAACCTGAAGATGCTGATGATATGCCTGAAGAAATGCCAAAAGATTCTCCAAAAGGAAAGGGCCCCAAAAAACCCAAAGTAAAATCACCCAAAGATAAGAAACCAGACAGCCCTGCTGAAGAATCTGATATGAAAGATGATCCAGATAAACCAGAAGATGAACCTAAAGATTCTGATGATATGCCTGATGAAATGCCAAAAGATTCCCCAAAAGGAAAGGCCGCCAAAAAACCGAAAGTAAAATCACCTAAAGATAAGAAACCAGACAGCCCCGATGAAGATTCTGATATGAAAGATGATCCAGATAGACCAGAAGATGAACCTGAAAATTCTGATGATATGCCTGATGAAATGCCAAAAGATTCCCCGAAGGGAAAGGACTCTAAAAACCCCAAACAAAAATCACCTACAGACGAAAAACCAGACAGCTCGGACGAAGATTCCGATATGAAAGATGATCCAGATAAACCTGAAAATTCTGATGATATGCCTGATGAAATGCCAAAAGATTCCCCAAAAGGAAAGGCCGCCAAAAAACCCAAAGTAAAATCACCCAAAGATAAGAAACCAGACAGCCCTGCTGAAGATTCTGATATGAAAGATGATCCAGATAAACCAGAAGATGAACCTGAAAATGCTGATGATATGCCTGATGAAATGCCAAAAGATTCCCCAAAAGGAAAGGGTCCCAAAAAACCCAAAGTAAAATCACCTAAAGCTAAGAAACCAGATAACCTTGATGAAGATTCTGATATGAAAGATGATCCAGATAAACCAGAAGAGGAACCTGAAGATTCTGATGATATGCCTGAAGAAACGCCAAAAGATTCCCCAAAAGGAAAGGGCCCCAAAAAACCGAAAGTAAAATCACCTAAAGATAAGAAACCAGACAGCCCCGATGAAGATTCTGATATGAAAGATGATCCGGATAAACCAGAAGATGAACCTGAAAATTCTGACGATATGCCTCATGAGATGCCAAAAGATTCCCCAAAAGGAAAGGGCCCCAAAAAACCCAAACAAAAATCACCTAAAGACGAAAAACCAGACAGCCCTGAAGAAGATTCTGATATGAAAGATGATCCACATAAACCAGAAGAGGAACCTGAAGATGCTGATGATATGCCTGAAGAAATGCCAAAAGATTCTCCAAAAGGAAAGGGCCCCAAAAAACCCAAAGTAAAATCACCCAAAGATAAGAAACCAGACAGCCCTGCTGAAGAATCTGATATGAAAGATGATCCAGATAAACCAGAAGATGAACCTAAAGATTCTGATGATATGCCTGATGAAATGCCAAAAGATTCCTCAAAAGGAAAGGCCGCCAAAAAACCCAAAGTAAAATCACCCAAAGATAAGAAACCAGACAGCCCTGCTGAAGATTCTGATATGAAAGATGATCCAGATAAACCAGAAGATGAACCTGAAAATGCTGATGATATGCCTGATGAAATGCCAAAAGATTCCCCAAAAGGAAAGGGTCCCAAAAAACCCAAAGTAAAATCACCTAAAGCTAAGAAACCAGATAACCTTGATGAAGATTCTGATATGAAAGATGATCCAGATAAACCAGAAGAGGAACCTGAAGATTCTGATGATATGCCTGAAGAAACGCCAAAAGATTCCCCAAAAGGAAAGGGCCCCAAAAAACCGAAAGTAAAATCACCTAAAGATAAGAAACCAGACAGCCCCGATGAAGATTCTGATATGAAAGATGATCCGGATAAACCAGAAGATGAACTTGAAGATTCTGATGACATGCCTGATGAAATGCCAAAAGATTCCCCAAAAGGAAAGGCCACCAAAAAACCGAAAGTAAAATCACCTAAAGATAAGAAACCAGATAGCCCAGATGAAGATTCTGATATGAAAGATGATCCAGATAAACTAAAAGATGAACCTGAAAATTCTGATGATATGCCTGATGAAATGCCAAAAGATTCCCCAAAAGGAAAGGGCCCCAAAAAACCGAAAGTAAAATCACCTAAAGATAAGAAACCAGACAGCCCCGATGAAGATTCTGATATGAAAAATGATCCAGATAAACCAGAAGATGAACCTGAAAATTCTGATGATATGCCTGATGAAATGCCAAAAGATTCCCCGAAAGGAAAGGACCCTAAAAATCCCAAACCAAAATCACCTACAGACGAAAAACCAGACAGTTCGGACGAAGATTCTGTTATGAAAGATGATCCAGATAAACCAGAAGATGAACCTGAAAATTCTGATGATATGCCTGATGAAATGCCAAAAGATTCCCCAAAAGGAAAGGACCCTAAAAACCCCAAACCAAAATCACCTACAGACGAAAAACCAGACAGTTCGGACGAAGATTCTGATATGAAAGATGATGCAGATAAACCAAAAGATGAACCTGAAAATGCTGATGATATGCCTGATGAAATGCCAAAAGATTCCCCAAAATCACCTAAAGACGAAAAACCAGACAGCCCTGATGAAGATTCTGATATGAAAGATGATCCAGATAAACCAGAAGATGAACCTGAAAATACTGATGATATGCCTGAAGAAATGCCAAAAGGTTCCCGAAAAGGAAAGGGCCGCAAAAAACCCAAACCAAAATCACCCAAAGACGAAAAACCAGACAGTTCGGATGAAGATTCTGATATGAAAGATGATCCAGATAAACCAGAAGGTGAACCTGAAAATGCTGATAATATGCCTGATGAAATGTCAAAAGATTTCCCAAAAGGAAAGGACCCTAAACAACCCACGACAAAATCACCTATAGACGAAAAACCAGACGACACTGACAAAGATTCTGATATGAAAACTGATTCAGATAAACCAGAAGATGAACCTGAAAACACTGATAAAATGCCTGATGAAATGTCAACAGATTCTCCAAAAGGAAAGGATGCTAAGGAGCCCAAAGAAAAGTCAGCTAAAGATGAGAAACCAGACAACTCTGATCAAGATTCTGATATGAAAGATGATCCAGATAAATCAGAAAACGAAGCTGAAGATTCTGATAATATGCCTGATGAAATGCCAAAAGATTCCTCGAAGGGAAAGAGTCCTGAGAAACCAAAAGGAAAACCACCTAAAGAAGAGAAGCCAAAAAGTCCTGATGAAGCTTCTGATACGAATGGTGATCCTGATAAACCAGAAGATGAACCTGAAAGTTCCGATAAAATGCCTGATGAAACGTCAACAGATTCTCCAAAAGGAAAGGATCCTAAGGAACCCAAAGAAAAATCATCTCAAGATGAGAAACCAGAAAATCCTGATGAAGATTCTGATATGAAAGATGATCCAGATAAGCCAAAAGACTCAGATGATATGCCTGATAAGCTTCCAGAAAATGAACCAGATGAAATCAGCTCTCAGAAACCGAAAGCCAAGCGATCAAAGGGCGAAGAACCAGAAAATACCAATAAAGATTTTGAAATCAAAAATGATTCAAATAGTCAGCCAAAAGATTCTAACATTTTGGATGCTGAAAATCCGAAAGATCCTGATGATTTAGAAAAGCGTATTGCTGAACAAAGTGATTCTGAAAAACTGCCAAAAAATATTTGTAAAGATCCTGAAATGAACCGTAAAGCAAAGCGGTCAATTGAGGGAATTGGAGGACAAAAGTACCCTTCAGTAGATGATCATGGAACTGAAAATAATCCTGAGGCAATTTCTAAAACAGTTCAATATCCTGAAGGCAGGAATTATAAGCTGAAAGAGATTCACAAAGTATTATTTCAAAGTGGTATTTCTTTAAAAAACAATAATGTGGAAGAGAACAGTATTATGAAAAATATTAAAAATGAACAAGATTCAAATTTTGAAGCAGAAGTCCTTGAAGACTCCTCAAACAAAGTACCTTTGAAAATAATAAATAGCGACGACGTAGATTTATCACAAACAAAGGAAGATATGTTTGATAGTAGAAGCTATTGGCAGTTTATTAAGAACAAAATATTTGCCGGTGTTTAACATTTAGTTTGAAGCTGGTTTTTTAATTAGTTTTTTTTTTTTTATTGATTAAGGTGTATAGTAATGGTTCCCGCCAAACTACAATAAATAGTTTGAAGAAAAAAAATTACAATTCATATTAGCAGAAGCAGTTAAATGAAAAATTTTTAACTACTTGTAATCCTTTATTATAAGTGTTACAATACTCAAAAATTAATTTTTAAAATATTCAATCAGTTTTAAGAAAATGTAAAAGAATATTATTAATATTTATAATGTAATTTTAGTTCAGATATGAAATTAGCCATTTAGTTTAAATCCGTTTAATGATGTAGCAGCAGCTTCGCATTGTATCTAATATCCGAATTCATAAAACCAATATGAGCATTTCAAATTTACCCAGCATTTTACTCTTAGTGTAATTTATTTACTTGGATTATTATATTATTTAAGTTAATTTTTAGTATAATTTTTACTTCAATAAAAATTTTGTAAGTGGAAAATGTCTTGGATATAATTCTACATATTTCTGTATAATATATGTATATTATATCACTTCTAAGTAAAAAATTTCAATGAGGTAAAGAAAGTACCATTTCATTCATGTCAAAATATAAAATTTTTTTGCAAATTCAAATTATTAAAATTTTCTAGACTCTCAAATTCTATCATTTTTACTATTTAAAAATTAGTCACGAATTAAAAATCATATTAATTAATTTTTAAATAAAATTATGTAATTCAAAGTAATAGGTATTCAGATTTAATTTTAAATTAATACAGACAAAACAAATTTTTTTCAATTATATTGTAAATTATAATTTAATATCCATTGATAAATTGAAAACTCCTAATCTAGTAGTAAATTCCAACTAAGATATTTTACAGATTAATTTTTAAAGGCGCAAATTGTATAACATATTATAACTCTACTAAAATATTAACGTTAAACTATAATAAGTTTATTTTATATGCATATATTTGGAATACTCTCTGATTATCATTACCAAACTACAATAAATTAAATAAAATTTAAATTCTAAAAATTTGCAGACTGAAAATGATATTTTTACTTAACTGTGTTCACACAGCTCATTGATTCCATGATTATTCATATACAAAAATTATAAAACCATATAATATGAGTACACGTATTACTCTTCAATATATTTAATGTATATTATACACAATAGTAACGAAATTGCCATTTAATAAATAATAAATTCTAATTTTTGCATTTGTTGAATAATTTTCTATAATTATTTTATCAGAGAATTCCATAAATATAAAGATAGATTACAATTTAACATTATTAATTAATTAACAAAATTTGGTAGTTAAATTTTAGTTTTTTTTTTTCTATTCGTATTTCGTAAAATTCAGTTCTACTTTTTAATCATTTTAGAAAGGATTTTTTAGAAAATTTTATTCAAATGAAATTATAATAATAATATTCAATTCAATTTAATTTTTCACACAGAATTAAGCAGAGTAAAATTTTTCATTTAGTAAAATAAATTGAAATAAAGAATTTAATGATTATGTATGTGGTTAATTAAATAGATAATTATTATGAATTTTAATTCGATCTATTATATGATTTCGAGAAAATTTTTGAAATTGAATTTTGTAAAAATGAACACATTATGGAAAAACTGTTAACGTGCAATAAAATGTAGGTAATATATATCTAGATCTAAAAATAATTTGTTTTCAGGGAATTTTAAAAAATTAAAAACATTTTCCTCATTATACAATATTGTTATATTGTATTTAATGATGAAACTTATTACAGCATATATCTAGGTGTATATAAGATACAAATATAGAATCATGTTAATATTTGGATAAAAAATTTTGTAGAAAATTAATTAAGAAATAATTTAAATTTAAAAAATAATCAAGATACTGTCCAATTTTTTGATTAAAATCAAATATAACATTTACGTATATCAAACTGTGGGCCTTTAAAAGTATATTTGCAAAAAAAATTTAAAGAACAAAATATAAAATAGGTTTTCTACCATAAATTTGAAGTTGACATTTCAAATAAAATGCAATTTTGAAATTAATTGCTTGCGGTATATTCCTTTTATACCGTGTACACAGGGTGGTCTAAAATTAGAATTGAAGCACAATTTCCGAAAAAGTTTTTGAGAAAAACATTCTTTGCGACAGAGGGCCAATCCCGGACATCTGGTGTTGATTTGGAAAATTAAAGAAAAAAAACAGACTAAAACAATTTTAGACGGCTAATATCCTTAACAGTTTCTAAGACGTTGGAGCTAGATCTGCAACGTTTTTTTTATTGGTTAGTATCCTTATATAACAGTGACATAGCAAATATTGAGTTGAGAAACTGAAAATTTTTCAAAAATGTTTATATTATGTTGAAGAAGTCGTTTATAAACGGTTCCAGCAAAATAAAGTTAGAGCAAATAATGTAATTCATCATTTTGTAAAAAAAAACACCAAGAAATCACATTCCGAGAGGTTCAACTCCACTTTGAGACCAACCTGCAAGTATTCTTACAATGTATAACAGAAATACGAGTAAGACAATGTTATTCTGCTTTAAGGATAATATAGAAAAGTATCTTCTATCCAAAGAAAACCTTTCAAAAAAACTATTTTTAATTTTTTTTTATAATTAAAATGCCAAATTGGGATTAATAGGTTAGCTAACTCCAATAATAAATTAAAAATATGTATACAAATATTCCATATCATATAAAAAATATGTGTAGTTTTTCTAAGGAGAACAAAAAAAATTGTTTTTTAATTCTCAAAAGTGTCAATCTAGCCGACACTGTACGTACGCATCTATGATAAAGAATTTTTTTCTCCAAAAAGAAATTTCAAAATCTCACATATTTATATTGTTGTGTATTTCTAAATATAGTGGTACAAACATTCCGGTTTGTAGTAATCCAATCAAAAGACAAACAAGTTTAAACTATTAAAAAATATTTTCATTTCCCTATACAGATATAAAAAGAAATTTTTTGTTGTTATTTTCACAAATGAAATTTTGTAAATATTCATATTATTGAAACCAACACCCTCAAAGGTATAAACGCATTCATACAATGTATATATGCAAATATACCCACACATAATCGTATACATAAATAGTAGATTCTATTTGTTTCATTTTCATTTCAATATTTCATTTTCATTTAGTTCACCATCCTGTGAAAAGAATCATATGTCATGACTTTCAATCACGTTCCGATATTATGTTATATTAGACATTTATCTAAATTTTGAATATATACGATATAATGTCATATAGGTATGTGATATGTGATGCCAAAATACTGTAAAATATCTTCAACACAAATGATCTTCTATACTGTTATACGTTCGCAATTCTCATGTTTTATATCTTAAAAATATCCTTATATTATATGATATACAATATAGATATGTATTAGAAATTTGGAACGTATGTAGGATTCATAATTTTTTTTTCTGTTTGAATACAATATTTGGATAGTTGTACATATAGTACATATATGTACATAGTGGATTACATATTATATTGTACATAGTAAAAGAGACGATAAAAAAGAAACCTTCAATGTAATTTAAACAAGTATGAACTCATATTTTTCTCGTTCCTGTTCAATATACAAAGTTCAATATGAGTATTACAACACTTTATTCCTAGATGACATTTTCAAGAATATTATTTTTTTAAGTTAAAAGAGCAAAACTATAAAAATATAGAAAAATTTCTTTTCGACACTTAAGTTGAAGGTGAAAATAATAGTTTTTAAAAAAAAATATTATCATTTTTATCCGCATAAGAAAATAATTCAAATATATTTTTATGTATGCATGTCGATAGTTTTTGCAATATAAGATAGATATACGATTATTGATCGGCTGATAAATTGGATTTACATAAAGTACGAGGTTATTCTAATACTCATAGCAACAAAATAACATTAAGGATATTTATTAAACATGAACATCTCCTTTAAATGGTTTCTGAAAACGTGTGATCTTCTATTTCAATATATTATGAAGAATACGTGTGTACAAGTGTACTGCAGTAGTTAAAAGAACAACTTGATGACTCAATAAATGAATAATGCATTTTGTTAAAGAAAAATTTCATATGCACATATGGAATATTTAGAATACAATTTTGAGTAAAACTAATAGTATTACAAAAAAAAAAAGTATTTTCAGGAAGCATTTAAAATTCCTATAAAAAAATTTTAACTTGAGCACTTAGTTATTCTGTTAATAATAGAATTTAACTAATATGTTTTGGGAAATTTTTAATTTAAATTTAAAAAATTACCTTATATGCAAAATAGTTGATTTGTTTTTGTTGATAGATTAGTTTAAAACTATTTATGACGATTTTTATTATTTATGTAAAAATATCAATGAGATTTCATTTGAAATGCCCCCCATTAGACATACTTCACTCTCAGAGTTTTCCATTCTCTGAAAATAAGCTGCTTCCTCTTTGGATCTAGACCGTGTGAGCCCGTTGATGTCCACAGTACCCTGACACGCACACTAGCATCAAATTTTTGAATGTAGTCAAAACTTTTTTCTGATATTTTTTGAGATAATTTCTCTAAATTTTCTTTGAATTATAATTTAATTCTTGCTTTTGTACGCAATCCTCGAATTTTAAAGAAAAAAGGTGAGTTATTTATAAATTTTTGATAGACAGTTCAGAAGTTGAAACTCAATATAACGAACTCCTTTGTTAATTTTTTAATATAGTTTATTGGCTTACGACAACATTCCCAAATTTAGTTTTAGATTATCGAGCAATGTTTTGTCATTCCAATAAATTTCACATCAAAAACTTTCACCAATTCAACACACATTTAAAATATAAAACGCGCTGTTAAAGAAAATTTTTATAAAAATATTTAAAGTAATAAAAAACATATCTAATATTTCAGTGCATAATGTTAAGATTATTGCACTTTATGACCTCCTAGAAACAATTAAAATTCAGATTAAATTTTTTTCTATATATGCACCCAAAACGAGTTGACCTCGAAAACCTTTTTTGATAACAAAACGTGCTATAATAACAAAGTTTGGGTAATTGTATAAAATACCCTTATTATATGAGTTTAAATTTTTAAATCAACAATGCAATATTCTAAGCACCTATGCTTTTTTAAACAGTTTTAAAAGCATATAGAAGCACATAGAAAATTTATTTTGCAAGAAAAAGAAATTTACACATTTGCTATATGGTGATTCACTCAGATTTCTGTTGAAAATTTTTTATTCATTACTGACCAAAATTAAAGCATTTTTTTTGAAAATAAAAGATTAAACTTTTGGAACAATACATTTTTCTTGGGAAAATGTGAATAAAACATTCATACTGAAAAAAAAAACTTTATTTGGCAAAAACTCTAATGCCAACATTTTCATAATTTAAATTTTAAAAAGAGAATTTTTAGACAAGAAAAAACACTAAAATTCTAAACTAAAGCAAAATTAGAATTTACCATGAAATTAAAAATGCTTATAATATTATTATGTAGGTTACATTCTTAATAAAAAATTTTATAATTTTAAAATAAAAAAAACCTGATCTGGT